GTCTTCCCTGACGGCACGCTGGAGGTGCGCTACGCCCAGATCCAGGACAATGGCACCTACCTATGCATCGCCAGCAACGCGGGTGGCAATGACACCATGCTGGCCCACCTGCACGTGCGCAGCTACTCCCCAGACTGGCCCCACCAGCCCAACAAGACCTTCGCGTTCATCTCCAACCAGCCCAACGAGAGCGATGCCAACAGCACGCGCGCCACCGTGCCTTTCCCCTTTGACATCAAGACTCTCATCATCGCCACCACCATGGGCTTCATTTCCTTCCTGGGCGTCGTGCTCTTCTGTCTGGTGCTCCTCTTCCTGTGGAGCCGGGGGAAAGGCAACACCAAGCACAACATTGAAATCGAGTACGTGCCACGGAAGTCCGACGCGGGCATCAGCTCTGCCGACGCACCGCGCAAGTTCAACATGAAAATGATTTAAACCAGGCAACAATTTGCAAATAATAATGGTGGGTTGGTTGGTTTGGTTTTGGTTTTGTTTGTTTTTTTTTTTAAAAAAAGAGAACAAATGAACAAAATAAATAATTTAAAAACATTGCTACAAACATACCGACCTCTCTCCTTCCACCACGTCCTCAGCCCCCGTCCAAACCCACTGCATCCGCACTGTCACCACCTCTTCCTCCTCCCCTTCTTCTTTATACCAGGAAAAACATTCAGCCGATGTCTTCAGGACTCCTGTGTTTGTAAGGACTTTGTCTGATGGACTCTGGTGTCAGATATAACTCTGAAAGGGAAAAACAACTTGGGGGGTGGGGGGGAGGGAAGAAAGAAAAAAACCCAAGAAATAAAATCAATAAAAAGTTACGAACTTTATTCTGTAACTTTGATTTCAATAATTATGGATTTTTATGAAAACTTGAAACAATAAAAAAAACCCTATTTCCTATAGATAGTTGGAATGCAAAATCTTGACTTCTTGATCTGTCCAGTTCCGTACCTGGCAAGCGCTCCCTTCCTTGCCACCACACCAAGAACAGCCTCAGGCCAGGGTGAGAATCCCACTGACACCAAAGGTTTGCACCCCACCAAAGGGGTCCTAGGGCCTGCACAGCATCGAGAGGAATTTGCTTTTTGCTCCCAAGGACTTGTGGTTTTGGAGCCAGTTTCCTGCCCACCCCAAAGGAAGGCCAGGGGAGCGGGACAGTGCTGGTGTGCAGCAGCACAGGGCTGAGTGCATCTGTCCTCTGTGTGCTTAGCAGGGCACAAAGGCCCATCACAGGGCAGGCAGCAGCTCGCTGTGCCCATGGCCTCTGGGCTGAGAGCCAGTGGGACTGGGTTTTGCCTGGCAGTGCTGGGAATACCTGGAGATCCCGCCGCCTGTTAGGTGGGGAGAGGATTTGCTGCCCACCATTGCCAGCAGTACCATGGTGTCACCTCCCTGATGGAGCACAAGCTGGCCCTTTGTGCTATGAACACCATCCTTGCAGGCAGGGATGCTGCAATTCCATCAGCACCTTTGCTGCCAGCGCAAGCAGGCAGTGCCCTGCCTGCCCCTGGCTGTACAGGTGCTCCTGGCTCCTGGCACCCAGCAGCTCCAGTGCTGCTCCACACCTGCCTCTAATGAGTCTTATGGTCATTAATTCTTCCCTGTGAGGGTGCTGAGGCGCTGGCACAGGGTGCCCAGAGAAGCTGTGGCTGCCCCATCCCTGGCAGTGTTCAAGGCCAGGTTGGACACAGGGGCTTGGAGCAAGCTGCTCCAGTGGAAGGGGTCCCTGCCCATGGCAGGGGTTGCAGCTGGATGAGCTTTAAGGTCCCTTCCAACACAAACCATTCTGTGGTGGTTTTTGGCCCTGACTCACTGGCAGCCAGGTTTGCAAGCACCCTTGGGCATGCCCAAGGGAATTTAACTTCCAGGCTTGCAGGAGACCTTATCTAAAAAAACCCTAAAATTACATTTGTTTATGAACACACCCAAAGCACAGCCTGAGCCGAGCACAGGGCGGCAGCAAGGAGGTGCTGCAGGCTGTAACGTGCTGGCTGCCCTGGTGCTAGATTCCAGCTTGCCCATCACCATGTTGTCTGGTCATCAGGCAGCAATCTCCCTTTGCTGAACTCTGGTACTTGGGATCAGGAGGTCTCGAAGGTTTGTATTGTCTCAGTGAGGAAAAGGGGAAGAACAGGGGTTAAACTGGTCAGTGTGGGTGCCACCCTGCCCGAAGACCAGCTACCTGCATCAGCGAGACAGCGTCAGTATGGAAGTGGGTGTACAGCAGGTGAATTAGAAGGAGCAAGTCAGGAGGACAACCCCAGAGGGAAGGAGTCAAATTAAGAGACAGCAACGGGCAAAGAGGTATCTCAAGTCAAGCTTCGAATATATAGAGGCATCATCAGAGCAGCTCAACCCTTCCCCACTTGCTTGGTGCTAACCTGCCAGCCCCCAGAGGGTGCAGAGAAGGGTGAAGGCCACAGCCAGCCCTCCCTGGAGCCCTTCCATGGGAGACACAGTGCTGGCACCGTGGCTTGGGGTGCACAGGAACAGAACATCCCTGCAAACAGTGGCAATAGGGGCACTAAAGGCTTTTATAAGCATCACTGAGGTCCTGTCACCACCAAGACTGGTGGCACCCCACTGGCCAGCAGCTTCCCAGCCAGCCCAGCCTCAGCAGCATCTCCAAGGTGGATGAGCTGGGATTTGCATGCTTGATTTGTAAAGCACTTAAGGAGTCTTCAGCGATCAAAGCCACTACACAAGCTGATAGAAAATACGCGTCAGGAACCCGGAGCGCCGACAGGAAAAAGAATGGATTTGCTTTCCTTCCAGCACCGCGCCAGTCTTGAAGAACCAACCTGAACCATCTGTGCTCGCGGGGAGTGGGGATGGTTTTTGCTGGTTTCAGCTTTCTATTCATCTTCAAACAAAACATTTTGTGTTTCTCTCTCCGCAGCGGGTTTCAGGAGCTTTGATTTGTTAGTTTCTCATCTCTAGCCCATCTTTCCTTTACAACTCTGAAACCAAAACAGTGTTTTTTTAAGAGCCTTTTTGCTTTTGTTTTGCTTTTTAAAAGAGCTAAAGCAAAAATGTTTCTTTGCAGCTTCCCCTCCCACTGGTGTTTATCCAACATTTTCAGTGAGCTACATACAAAACCACAAACAGCGAAACACCAACCTCAGCCTGGTGCTGCAGGCAGGCATGCTGGGCTCCATCTGCACCCCACATCCTGCTCCAGGGATCCTCAGTACCAGGTTGGAGCTGTGATCCCCTGGGAGAGGCTGGGATGCACCACAGCCTCAGCCCTCCAGAGGGTTGTTGCCAGGACTGACAATAACTCAATCAGTTGTTGAGAGGTGGAGGGGGGTCTCTGTGATGCTGGGCAGCTCTTAACACTGGCGGTTGGCGAGAGCTTCTTAATTGACTCCAGTTATCCTTCCTTAATGCTGTAATTAAAAGAGCTAAATCAACACACATAGATTTAAGAGAAGAGAATACTAATAACTGAGTCCAACACCATTTGCAGCACACTGCAACATCCCAGCAATCAAAGGGAGGATTCAAGTCTTTCACTGCTAGAAAAAGAAGCTTTAAAAAATAGAAAGGGGAGAGAAAATGATTCCCTTTCATGTGCAACATATCAGGCTATGCCAGCACAGAGGTTTCGCCCATCCAGACCCCCACATGCCCTGAGGCCCCCATCTCTGCTGCTCAAAACCCTCCTGGGGGAAGCCCCGCCGCCTGCCCCACATCCAAGATGCAGCTCAGAGCCTCTCCTTAGCGAGCTTGCCGGATGCTCTGTGGCACCGCTGCTGCCGCACAGTTTATTATCCACACCAATTCTTTAATCTTCGGTGCTTTCTGAGCTGGATAATTTATTTCTTTTCAGTCACCATGTGGTTAAAGCAGATGGATGGAGCGGAAGAAAAGCATCTCGGAGTGGCCAGCATCTCAGCACAGCCATTTTCATGGCTGGTAAAGATGGGGGGAAAAAAACACAGCTAAAGAATAAACTCCCTTTCTTCCCTTTGTTGAAATGTACAGTATGTTTCTATTGCAGTTTAATCAGGGGTGAGAAAGCAGGGGCATTGCTCTTCAGGTAACCATGGGCTGCGTGTCAGAGGCAGACAGCACTTTTCATTCTTTTGAATAGGGATAAATACAAAGCAGCAGTTACAAAACAGCTTAGAAGAGGTAGCAGAAAAACCCAGGAAGGGATGTGTTTACGGTGTGGAGGGGAAACACACCTTGACCTCCTCTGCTTCCAAGACTGGGAGCCCCGTGGGGATCTCCATGACAGGCACCCTGCGCTGGGACACAGCAGCGAGGGCAATTAGGGGTTATTCAGGACTTCCAGCCCATCCCAGGAACTTTCCTCCCTACCAGGCTCCACATTTCCCCCCCACCCAGGACATGCCAGGGGCTGTGCCTGGCTCTCCCCTTCTACTGCCTGACTCCCATGTCCCACCCCCATCAACCCCTGTGCCTGCTCAGCCCCTCTCCTGGGATCAGCAGCTCAAAAGGCTGGGGTGAGACTGACACCTTTCCCCACACACGGGTGAGGTGACCAGAGGAGAGGGGTTCAGCCTGACTCTTCACCCCATAGCACCCCACAGCCCCCCCTGCTCTCTATCCGCAGACCCCTTCTGCGCTGCCAGAACTTGCTGCCTTCCCTCATCTCCATCAGGCCTTATCATGCTTCACTTTACTCTTCTCTCTCTACCTGCCCTCCCCCTCTTATCTCTGCTTCAGAGCCATTTTTTATTCTCTCCCTTTTTTCCCTCCTTATCGCTCGCTCCCTTTATTTGTTAAAATACTTTCTGCCTCCTGCGCTTCTCTGTCTCTGCTGCCATTCCTCTCTCAAGGGCTCTTCTCACCCCGCCACATCTTTGTGTGCTCCTCACAGTCCCCTCTCTGCACAGACGTTCCTCCCTCCTCCCCTGGCAGGGTCTCATCCTTCTCCTTCCAGAGGGAGCAGCACAGTGGTACAGAGGGGCAGGCGGAAAGACCTTTGGGCTTTGCCTCCTTTCCTCCGTTCCCCCCCTCATTCCCTCTCTTCCCCATCCTCCCCATCTCTCTGGCCCTGTCATGGGTACATGCAGCTCCTCCAGGAAAAAAGCAGAGCTATTGCTTTCCTCTCTGTTTTTCCCGGGTCTGTATCTGCATGCTTATGATAGATTTACTGTGATTCTATCGGTTTATGATTAAAACACATAAATTTTACCAGGCCTTTTTCTTATTTTCCATAATACACAGGATTCGAGGCAATCAAATTTTAACTGGAAAGCATGGGCTGTGCAGTTAGGTTCCAGTGTAATGGGGAATGGTTCATTTCCCCATCCACCTCCATTACTGTTGGTGCTAAAGAAATATTGCCCTGTGAAAGAGATTTTTCCTGAATTCCCTTTAAAACCACATCCTTACCTGAGCGCAGGATTGGAGGAACAATGCAAACCAAGACTAACACACAGTGCCCCCTGACACTGCGGCTTGTTCCCATCCTGAGGTTTCCAAGCAGCTCTCCAGCAGAGGCAGGTGGGTGCTGAGGGTCTTGGGGTGACAGCTGTGGGTCCCTGGCAGCTGCTCCATCTCAGGTCCCCATCACCAGGCTGTGGGTAGCTCCAGCCCCTCCGGAGATTTCATCATGTGCCTGTTATGACCCAGGTAATAAGACATTTCATTCAAATGAGCAAATTTATTCCAGTGGCACTTTAATAACAAAATCAATAAAACTACACTTCCCAGCAGGGCTTTATCATATGCTAAAACTACAGCATATTGCCTGGATAGACTCAATTCTCCCCCTGAAATAAAGTGCAAAGCTTAGAAGACAGATGACACCATTTGCGGCACTAGCAGGATAATGCCCTAATAAATCCACAGCCACCTGGGCACTTCAGAGTTGTCACACACTGCACTCGGTGGCCACTGGGAACTTCCCAGTGGCAGCAGGAACAGCAACGAGACCTTTGTGCTCCTCAGGCTCACAGTGCAGATGTGGAGTGTGGGCTCTGGTGCACAACCCTGCTGTCAAAGCAGTGAGGTGGCCATGCACACAGAGCAGACTGTGTACATGGGGCATCATGCAGCCAGTTATCGGTGCAGGTTACCTGATCTGTGATGGCTCTCTCCAAAAGAAGCAGCTGCGATGGATGGGGAGGTGAGCACCCAGCTTGGAGAGCAGCTGCCCCAAGTGGCCTCTCCCCCAGAGCTCCCCAGTATCACCATTAAGCTGGAAAAGAGATGGGGCAGTCAGAAAATGCTGCTGGTCCTGCAGGAGTCAGCAGCACCCCAGGACAGGCAGTGCCCATGCAAAGAACAGTTCCTGCCCTGCCTTGTGTGCTGCTGTGCACCCCTCCATGCAGGATCCCACCTCCTGAGCTCTGTGGCTGCTTTCCCATGGACCATCCCTCTCGCTCCCTGCCCTACCACTCCATCCCCCTCAATTACCACTCCATCACTCTTCCCCACATCGTTACACTCCAGCATGCTACATGACATGAAATTACAGCTCTTCCCTCCTCCATCATCCATCCCAGACCCTCATCCATAGGCTCTCCAACCCCTGCCCTGCTCCCAGCCATTCCCCTCTGCCAGTCAGCCACCTCCCACCAGCTCTCCGCTCTTCCTCATCCCTCCAGCTTGTGCTTCCCAAGCCTATCAGTGTTCCCCAGCCTTGAGTGCTGCAAAACTAATTAGCTCACTACAAAGATTGAGGAATAATTAGGGACTCCACTGAAAGCATGAAACTAGGGCATCTCGCCTTAAATAAACACGAGGAAGTGGCTCTCCACTCTGCTGACGGCCTGCAGTTGCTTCAAGGAGATCATCACCATCACCATCACCATCCCTCAGCTCCCGCTCCAGGAATGTTCACCAGAGGCGCCTCTGCCTCCATCTCGCCCTTTAGGCACCTTAAGCACCACAGACAAGTGCTTTCTTGCTTTTTTGGCTTATATCCCTGCTACTGAAGCCAGCTCCTCCGCAGAGCTCCACAGCTAGCCAGGCATCAAAGCAAGCAGGCAGCTTCCCAGAGCTGCTGGTTCAGGCACTGCCTCCTCAATGGTCCATCATCTCCAGCTCCCTGCAGGGGAAAGCTAGCACCAAGCATGGAAAACAGCAAGAAAAACATCTGAACATTCCCCTTTCCAGTTGCCTCCACTGGGTAGAAGAGATGCTAAAATGGGCTTTCCCCTGGCAGCTCCTGCCCTGCCCCAGACTGGAGCCCCTAAAGAACAGGGCGATACAAGAGAAGGAAGTGGTTATGGGGGCTGCACAGGACTCCACACTCTGGCATGTTGAAGTCCCCTTGTGACATGCAGCAGTTCCCTGCAAACCCACATCTCCCCCCATGCGAACACCATCCCTCCTGCCTCCTCAAGGTGATGAGCAGGAGACAGAGTCTAAGGCAGCTCAGAATGAGGTGTCTGTGACCTTCATCACTCGCTCATCTCCCTGGCACTGCACACGATCCCTCCTCCAGCCACTGTCTGCACCTGAAGTGCTCCACACAGTTTTGTCACTTACTAATGGTATTTAATAACAAGCTGACACTCAGCCCCTGCGTCTCACTCAGAGCAGCCTGACTGATGTCCCCAGTCCTCGTGGAGCAGCAGTGCTCGCTGCCTCCCGCCGAAGGTGGGATAGGGCCTGGGGAGGGAAGCATTGCTTTAAGCCCTGCAGAAAAGCCTCCCCAGGTCCTGCTCACTCTGAGCATCCCTTCCTATCCTTGGCAGCCATGGTGGAAAAGGACAAGTTCTCCTGTTAGGGACTGAGAGCAGAGGACCTGTTGGAGACTATGGCACTTTACATGGAACTATAACCCCTGCCATTGGGGCTTTATGGCACTGATGGGTTTGTTTCATTCTTCTTAAGGTTTTCTATTGCCTCTGATGCACAGAAGGGGGAGAGAAGAGAGGTGGGAAGAGACCTATATCGAACCCCAGCACTGTTTCAGCATCAGGTCCCTGATGCAGACTGCAAGGTTGTATGCTTCTGCACCCATGCTGGAGGCCTTCGCCAAGCTGTGCTGGGAAAGCAAACCTAACCCTCATCCTCAGTGGTCCAGAGAGGTGAGGCATTGAGCATCCATCACCCACAGGAGGCTCCTTTACGATACCCAAGGACAAGGGTAAGATCTTCAGTTTTCCCTTGTCCAGGGGTTCAGGCACTGGGAAAGGGCTGCACCCAGAGAAGGGCCATGCTGAGCCCTTTTATTCCAGCTCTGATAAGTACTGCAGGGAGCAAGTGAAGCTGGGCAGAGCAGGCAGGGCTGCTATAGCTGTACCTGCACCAGCACATGGGCTGGAGCCACTGCTTCCTTCTCCTGGGTGGCTGCTTACAAGGACAATGCCAAGGTGGATTAGACCCAACCCTGGACCTGCCTTTCCAAGGGCTCACAAGTGTTGGCAATTCAAACATGAGTATTTAGGACAAAAAACATGAGTGAGGGCTTCAAACACCTTCACGTAATCACCCTTCCCAGGCAGACTGGTGAGGTTCAGCACTGCCTTCTCCAACAGCCTTGCCCAGTGACAAGGGGGTCTGGCTCTGGCATCTTCAAGAGAGACTGAGAAATGCCCTGAAAGACTGGGGTGGGATCTGTGTAGAGTCAGGAGGCTCCTTCTGGCAGAAGGCCCTCACAGATGGATGCTCAAGGCAGCAAACAGCTACATCTTTATCCTACGGTGCAAGTGGAGTTGTCTTTCACACACACACCTAATCATTTTTAAGATCTCTGCCTCAGAACTATCTTTTTGATAAAACTAATCATGGGCTTAAATTATAGATAAATACTCGATATTAAAAGAGCAGTTTGAAAAGGAGGAAAGGGGTAGTTTAACAGTGCTCATTTTCTCTGCTTTTCTATAGCACACATCTTGGGCTATTTAACTGTAGAGCTTATGAAGCTTCATTCTGATAACTGTCCTTCCTTTCAAACGTGGCTTCCACAAATGTTTCCCCTGTTTTCTTTACCTGCTAAGCTGCTGTTAGCTATATTATTGCAGCAGCCACCACATCTCCAGCTGAGACTAAGAAGCAGACAAGCAAAGAGCTGTATGAAAACACAAAGCAATGAACCTGGTGCTTAAAAAGGCCGGACCCAAAAGCATCTACACCGGGAATAAGGGACACCCCGGTGCCCATGAGGGATCTGGGATATAACAGCCCAACAAAGAAGAGTAGCTGGAGAGAATCAAAGAGGCAGGATGAGGACAGAGGTCTGTGCCCACCCCTCTGCCTGTCCTTGTGCTGCTGTTGGGCTGGCAGGAATGATCCAGCTCTAGGTGCTTTTAAGCACCGCACAAACCAGGCTCACACTGGCTTCCTCTGCTCTGCAGGGAACAATGGCTTTGATCAACAGAAGATTGCTGAGTTAATTGTAATGATATTCTAATAAAGCTGAGGAGATTAATTACGGCTCTTTATCAGAGCTGGCCCTCCGCCAAGGGTTCGCAAAATTGTTTTCCTCTGTTTCTTGTCATTTGGATTTAGGAGAAGAAAGGAGGAAGTCGGGTGCCTTTTTTTCCTGCAGCAATCAGGAGTGTGGCCTCGTGCCCTGCTCGCAGCTCGGCACGTTTACGGAGGGGAGCGGGGAGGGTGCAGACAGAGAAGGCAAATGGAGAGCGACAGAGCAAAGCAATTAGACATGATGCAGCACAATTACACTCCTAGTCAATAAGTGGGTCGCTGCAGAGAAGCACAAAGGAATGAGGCAACAGCGTGCGGACCACAGACGTCGCTGCATGAAAGGTAAACCCAGGGCATGTAACACCTTTCCAGGCTTGAGGGGAGCCACAAGAGACATGCAGTGCTTGCCATGGGGCTCACAGTGGCAATGACATTGGGCAGAAGAGCTTCATGGCCTTCATCTTCTTCATACCACACTGGCGCAGAACAGCGAGTGTCCACAGAGCAGCCGGAGCCCTGCTAAGTGGCCTTGGGGAACGTGAGACTCAAACCTCCCTATTTCACTTGACAAATAGGTGTTCATTCCAGGAAGGATCTAACAATGCTCAGGCAGGTGACAGACAGACCTGCAGAGGAATGATCCAGGCTGGAAGGCAGCAGATCCATCAGGCAGAGCTCACGGGGAAGGGAGGAGAGCCCCTTCCTGCAGCCAGCTGGGACACGATGTGCTGTCGGAAGAGGCTGCAAGTCAAACCCAGGGAAGGAAACGTTCTCCTCACACAAACCAGAGGGAAACCTGAGGCTTAAAAGAACACCATTTACTTTTAAGCAGGCAGCAGAGCAGTACCAGGAACCTCCATACCAACAGGTCAGGGCTTGCTGCTGTGAGGAATTAAAATGGCACCAAACAACCCATGGCCTTCAGCTCTACAAGGGGCACCCATGACACGTGCAGCTGCTCCATTTTCCTGCATGCTTCTAGAAAGATGCCACACTGCTACTGCACATGATCCATGAAGACAGAGTGGGACTGTTAAGTATTAATCCCGCCAAACAGAACCTAACTGGGTTTAACACATCTGAGAGATGCTCACGGGTATCACTGAGATGGAGAGGCTGGCACAGCATGCCTGAAGTGATTCATCAAGGCTGAGAACTTGGAAGGAGTAGGCAGGGAGCACCAACCTCCACATGCAACACCGCTGCTCACAACCTCCGACTGCCTTTCCATAGCAACATGGGGGCACTGAGCACTTTCTGCCTGTGGAGGGACCACGACATGACAGCAGCATTCTCTGTGCTAAACCACAGGACTCACAGCAAGGTCACAACAGGGTAAGGGTAGGATCCGTGTTTTGTACCGTTGCCCCGATAACAGTCGAGATGATTCTCTCGTCATTTCAATGACCCATAAAACGGTCTCACATCCAAAATGTTTGCTCCGATCGAGAGGAAAAAATGCTGATCTCAATACTTTCCTCCTGGAACCTGACAGAAACAATTACTCATTTAGGCTTTTGCAAAGACCATTGGGTATGGCAAAATGTCACTCCAGGGTGAAACAACTGGAAAAAGTTCTAAAACCACTTAAAAGCTCTATTTTTTTAGACAAAGAAACTCCAGTTTTCCCATTTCAGAACAAATCCTTATGCTAAATCTGAGTTTACCTTAAACACCAAGAAACAAAACATTAAGAGAACAATTACCAAGAAGATCAAGCAAAGTGCTGGAGAGCTGCATTCATCACCTTCCACACGAAGAAAAGGTGCCCTTTTTGGGGTGACCAAAGTGTTTCAGCAGCTTAAGATACTCCTAAAGAAG